GGTAACTTTTTCCGTTTAAAAGAACAGTGCTTGGTACGTCCAGATTCTTGATTGTTGTACAACCATGGTTTAAGGTAATTGTAAATTCTAAAGGACCATTGAATGTTGCTGATGAATTGTCATCCCAAAACAATTTAATCGAGATGTTGATAATTTCTTTTTCAACCATTGTAACTTGAAAATTTTTTTTGCGAAAAAATAAAAAAAGGTTTAAATGATTATTTTGACCTTTTGCTATTATTAATGATTTTTTGACTGATGTATTTTATTATTAATGATTTAACTCTGACGTAATCTAATTTTTTTGATTAATGCGATCATTTTTTAATCAATTATAAAGTTTATAATGAATGACAAAACCATCATAATGTTCAGATGTCTTGCTTTAACCTTTCATCTTTTTTTTCTTTTTCATAACAAATATCAACATGATTAATTGTAGTTTTTGTAATAAACGAATGCTTTTTTTATTCCTTTTGATTATAATTCCATATTCATAACGATAACAAATACCAACATTATTACCTAAATCAGATCCTTCAAGTCTTAATCAATAGCGATAGCGATAATTGTATCTAAATAAAGTTCATTCATTGTTATTATGCAAACAGACTATCACGTGCGTTAACGGAAGTGCCTTTTTCTTACCGGTACCGCTACTATTGCTATCGTTATCGCTATTAATAAAAAAAAAAAAAAAGCTAAGCCTTTTTAGAAATATTCATAACGATAAATGTATGATAATCCTGATGATCATATTATTTACAGTATGTCACGATATGTCCCGAATTTTTATGGTCTGATGCGTGTCTGCAAGAATTATAATTTAATAAATTTGCTAATGCTAGAGTAATGTGTGTGATTTTCTAGATGACTTGGGAGTGCGTATTTTTTTTATTATTTCAGAATTATAAGTCGTCGTTATGTTGAGAGGTTTCTATAGGTAATGTAGCAGCATTATTGCATGGGCCATAGATACACCATGAGAAATATTCTTATTAAATATTTATACCGTGATTTTTTTGTACTGAAATTGAGATATAT